AGTTATAAGTTAATGTTTTAATAAACATTTGTATCGACTTATTTATTTATATAAATTAGGATTCATGTTTATGTGCGCATCTAACAAACATTGGCCTATTGTAGTGAACTTCTCATTGATTCCTATTGAATACATGTATGTTTCCTTATAGCGGAGGTGTCGATGAGGTGGATGAAAAAACACCATCTGATAAAAATGTATTAATACAGATTGATGACCCGGAAGATAATGTTGATTCTCCAGCGGCTGAGGCTCAGGAAGAGGATGGAACAGGGGAAAACAATGATGTACCAGATGGTGATTCAGACGGTGAACAAAACGATGAGCCAGACGAAGAGCCAGATGGTCAAGCAGACGGGGAGCAATCAAACACACCATCGTCTGCTGGAGAGGTTGGGGGCGTTGATAATCCAGTTTATCAGAGTAATGAATGGGTACCAGAGGTGGTAAGACAATTTCTTTATGCAGTTTTAGTATAATGCACGCACACTCAAAAGCTTTTGCACAAACGTCTTTTTTTTTGTGAACTTTGTCCAGTATTTTATATTGTTAACATCTCATCTCATCCTCAGCTATAGTCTCAGCATGTTGACGCCAAATCATTCTCTCTATGTTGCACCGATTTACTTTTCTTCAATACTTATCGATCTCATATTATTAGGCTGTCTTCCCCTGATCCTTTTGCCATCCGTTTGTCTCCATTCTGTTACTGCTTTTGTTATTTTTTACATAATATATTTTTTTATATTATCATTGTTTTGTATTGAAATGAAATTGGGTGTGTTATTGTATCAGATACAAATTACTTTTATGTTTACAGGCAGGGCCAGAGGACTAATATACGCACACTTATATCATGGAGAAAATAAATGTGGACAACGATTTGGCAAGGACAAATATCAAGAATCGGATCGGACTAATATCTCAATTCCTAAGGGGATATATGTTTGATAACAGTTAGTGGTATCTGCACTAACGATTTTTGCAATCTTGAATAAAAGTCTGGATATATTTTATTTTATTTTATTTTTTTAAGATAGTCAATTTAAATGTAATGTTACATCATACAACAAATGCTGAGCTGCCTCCCAAGGATTGCAACTAAACGTACAATTACTTGTGGCTTTATTTACGGTGCCACGCAAACGCTTCTCCATACAAACATTGTAAACTTGTTCTTTATACTCCTCCGGTTTAATAAGTGCAGTAAACGTAAGAACATTATTCGGCACCTCATTCTTGATGATGAAATTAATTTCGAAACATAAGATCCAAACACGATGGCGTGCATTTCAATACTTGGAGTATGTACAATATTAGACTTTCTTATTCGACTCAGTACATTAAACTAGCAGCATTATGTGGCCTACATATGTAGTAATGCAATTATTATAACAAAATATATCAAAACATGCAAATACACTGAAAACAAAGTAGAATTAAAAATCAGAGCTACCATTCTACCAATACTGGCATGGACGTCATCTTTTAGATTCATTTAGAAAAAAAAGTAATGTAAATAAAATATTAAGTAGATTAATGTGAACCCACCAAAAATACATGTGTATGATGCGGCTGTTTTGATTGTTCCACCCTGTAATTTATTATACAATACAATTACCAGCTTTTAGATAAGACGATCCTTCTATATAACATACATTGTTTACCCAACTAAGCATGTACATTATACAGTTTTCCATTAAGGAATTTAACACTTAGCTTGTATTTAGTGTATTGTCATAAACGGGTTATTCCGTATTATATAACATCAAAAGACAAAATGAAGTGGGCGGTAAAATATTAAGTTACATGGCATTTAAATTTAAAGATGTATTGTCCCATGCTAAATACCAAAAAAATCATAAAAATATATTTCTTTTTAATTAACTTGCTCATTTTGAAGTAACATCAAATTTATCAACTGGAACATAGAAATTAGTGTATTTAAAAAAATGTGTACCCATCAGTTTACAGCGTAAAATGATAAAAACACTTCCAGTCACTGGAAGCGTTTTATTATTTTTATTATAATTTTTTGGTCTAAAAATCAGGGTACACATTTTTTAAATGCAATAATTTTTATGCTATTGCAATATGAGCAAGTTTATTTCAAAACTATTTTTTATGATTTTTTTTTTACATTAACAAAAGGGACAATACATCTTTAAAGAGTGCATGCTTAAACGCACAAGGTGAAGCAAAAGAAATTGAATCGGAGAATTAAAACGTATATCGATTTAGTATTTATTTATGACATCTACATCGGATTACATTATATCAGGTGGTTTAAAGTCTCTACACTAGTTTCTGACATTATATAACTTAAGATCATTAGTTCCTTTTTTAATTAAAATACTGTATAGTTTTTGTTACAAAAACATAGAAGTCTGTATTTTATAAATGTTTTTTTTTTCTTCATAAATTACTCAATAGTCAGTTAAACACTTCGATCTAAAATATATTATGGGGTTTAAATCTTCCTACTAGTTAATATAATAATATAATAAAGCCTAATTTCTTTTTGATAATTTTTACGTAAGATACTGTGTATAGCGTTTTGTAATAAAACATTCAGGGAAAAAAACCCATAAACTTTTAGGAGTATTATTTTTACAATTGCTCTATTTACGTTCACGTTATGAAATGGCTGGATTTCTACAAGAGTATGCTCATAAGTCAATCGATAATCAGTCAAACAAATATTGATCGATCAAAACAATTATTGATTGACTAGTAGCTGCTACCTTTTGCTCGTTTATTTATCAAATCAATAAATTAAGCCATCAATCAAATAATTATAAAGCTAGTACCGTACCGTACTTTATACAAAGTTCGATGGCCGAGCGGTTAGTGCAGGGGCGCCGCAACATACAGTCATATCACTGCTGGTTCGAACGGCTCGCTCGCCTATATGGCTTTATGGTGGAACCAGAAAGTTTTTTTCGGATAACGATTATAAACCGTAGGCCCAGTGTACACAAGTTGTCTCGTGTGCACTTAATAAACCCCAATGCGTCATTCAGTGTACTGGTCCATATAAGCCATGTTGTGGACAGACGAGAGTAGCTGGTACCTACTGTACGAGCACACTCCTCGAGTGCTTTGAGACTATATAATCTATTAAGGGCTATATAAATCGAACTACATTACAAATAGAAGTAAGAAATAAAAAGTAGCTCTTTGATAATAGCTGCGATTTTGTTAGCACTGAAGTTTCCATACAATCGGTACTCGCTATCTCAGCCATTTTGGGTCCTGAATTGAGGAAATTTTGAAAAAATGTCACCTCTCTGGATGCTCGGAAATAGCAGCTGCCAAACCTGTAGAGTCCCCTACCTCTCCCCGACACGTTGTTCCCCATCCTATCCTGCTGTACATTGACAGACACAAATTTTAAAGTTAGTTGTCAACTAGAGCTCAAACCCACCTTAGCCCCACCATGGTTGGGGTTGGAGTAATGAGCAAATTTTAACATAGCACCTGACAGTGGTGTAACTAAGTTTACGAGGTTCCTGGTTCAAGAATATCGGTACAGTTGGGGCACTTGATAAATTGGCCGAGACGTATAC